TTTTTTTCAGGTCAAATATTCATTATGTTGTAAATAGAAAGCAATCTTTCCTATTAAACAAGTGCTATAGGAACTTTATCAGTTTGATTTAATGTAAAAATTGTAACCAATAAACTATAAAAATGGTAATACTTTGGACGTATTGCAGGAAATCACTAATTATTAGAACCTCTGGCAAACATACACTATAATAATACCATAGTGTACTTTTACAATTTTTAAAATTATAAATGCTTGTACTCCTGAGAAATAAGTCAGCCTTTGCCTCATGTATGGGATGAGTGTGCATAATAGATTTTCCTAACTAAATACGTTTTCTTGCTTTTTAAAAATGATAACGTTTGCTAGAATCTACCCCAGAATTTGTGTATAATTATCAAAAGTATGAAACATCACTTTACCTATTTGTTATCATGGATTTCAAGTCATCAAATCCGCTTCCAAATTCGTCAGTGGTATCAAAAGGTGGTTCTAACTTACACTTCTTTGATCTCGTATCAAGCCCCGGAGCCTGTGCTGTGCCCAGAATGTTTATTATCTCCTCTAATTCTGACCACAGTTTGCAGTGAGAAGAAAGCCAAGGGGGTGACTGACCCCCACCGTGGCTCAGATGGGGGTGCGCTGAGCAAGGAGCTGAGCCCCGCCTCCCAGAGGGCTGACCCGCCTGTTTCCGAGGCAGTGAGGGGAGCTTGTTTGACCTTAAGTCCTTTTGCTTCCTCTCTTCTCAGCTCCTACAGGTTCATTCATAAATTAGGTGGGGGATCACTGGAACTGCTTTTCTTTGGCTCCTGTGTTTTTAAATAGCCAGCCCTTTTCTGTGCTTTTCAAAGCAGAATAACTGAGCTCTGCCGGCTCTTTTCCTCAGGAAAAGCAGAACCATTCAGAAGGACATAATCTTCTTCAAGTGAGAACCACAGGAAATAGGGAATCAATCCAGAAAGTACTATTTATACTGACCATTTTTGGGCTAAGCTTGATTTTACCAAGCTTAGAGTAAAGAAAATTGCCTTGTACCATCTTGTAGTTAATCGTACTAAGGGTGAGTTTAAGTGTGTGTATGCTACCATAACGCAATGATTTCGAACCTAAAATACTGAAATATTACCTTGTCTTACCTTGGGGTTCAGATAGTAAAGAGAACTGATTTCCATTACAGAGTAGAGTTGGTGAGGGGTGCCGCACCCCCAGCAAAAGTCATGCTCAGTAAGGGATAGAGTGTAAGTCCCCTGCAATGACCTAAGGGAGCAGCTTACTATTATATAACAGACCTCAGACAAGGGAACATCCACTGTCATGGAATAGGTAGATGGATTTCGATCTGTTTTCTCTCATAACAGTATTGACTGTTACCATTTAAGCACTATTTGTAAATGGATTTTGCAATCATGCTCCATGAACAAAAGCTTGTTCTGAAAAATTCGGAGTGGATTGGGTCTTGCTCTGTTTTATTTTCCTAAAGAGTTTCCTTTCCTCTAGGACACTTTGTGTCTACTGCCCTAGGTTCTGCCCACTTTACTCACTTAAAGTCCACAGGCTTTAAACAGTCTCCCCAAATCTAGCCTGTCTTTGCATGGATGGGATTTTCAGCTTTCTTATATTGCTGTAAAATAAAATGCTGAGGAGAAAGCTTTAAGATGAGCTCCAACAACTTGTTAACAGAGTAGGCTGAGTGGCACTTGGGAAGTCAGCCAGCTGCAATCATTCCAGGTCCATCTGCGTTGGGGTAGGGAGGTCACGGGAAACCCGGGTGGACTGAATTTCATGATTCTGCATCTTCACGGGTAGTTATATAGACCTCCCAGGTCATAGCACATTAAGGGTGTTCTTCTATGCACAGACCAATGTAAGTTAAGATGTGATTACTATGTTGCTGTCTTTTTTTCCCAAAGAAAAATTTAGCAACCCAGAACTTTCCTTAATGCACATTGGTTTGGAAAAGCCTATAATAGTTGAAATCGTGACTGTGTGAAAATATATTTAAAAAATAATTAACTTCTCCATTCAGACAGAATGCTGAAGTGGCTAACGTCGTATGTCCCGCACAGGGAAAGCTTACAACTAGCCCAGGCTTTCGTTTTGCTCTCAGATACAGGGGTTTTCGTGTGTGGAATTCTAACAGCTCTTTTATTTTAGAGGAAATTCCAGTTCTTCAAAAATTTTATTTTCATAAAATTTTATTTGGAAAACTTTTAAAATTAGAAAAGCAAAAATGACTTTACTTTTAAAATGCTTCAGTTGCATGAAATCAGAATTCTGCTCATTTAATCTCATCCCCCTAAAGAATTCACAGTTATCAGTTTGATACATCATTATGTCAGTGAAGATTGTTTCACAGACTCTTGAATTTTTGAGACCCTTTTTTAGAAAAAGATTAAGAGAATTACAGGTAAACTGAAGAAGCGTAGCACTGAATGGTAGAGAGCTTCTGTGCCCTGTTCCTCCCGTGGCTGTGCGTACTGACCTTCGCAGCCACTCGCTGGCTTACACACATGTCCGCCATGTAGTTCTGTGCTGTCCATTCCAGGAGCCGCCACCTGCACCTGGCTGTGGAGCACGTGAAATGTGTCTCGTTCAAACTGAGATGTGCTCTAAGTCTAAAACGCACGTGGGCTCTCAAAGACTTGGTGAAAAAGAAAGAATGTAACAGATCTCAGTACTTTTCATAGTACATATTAAAAAGCAATATTTTAAATATAGTTAAATAAATAAAATAAATTGCATGTAAGTTCACTGTTTATTGTGGCTGCTAGATAATGTAAAGGGACAGATGAATCTTGCTCGTGTGGCCTACATTCCGCTGCTCCTGAGCAGTGTTATTCCAGACTGTCGTCTACATGTCAGCTTACTTATATTTTAGTGCTGGCATCCTCCTCTGTTGAATAGCTTTGAACTCTACCCTCTGATTTTATTTATCTTCGATTCCAAATGCTGTTTTTCAACATCATCTTTTTGATTCTTTTTTCTTTCCCTATCCCAGTACGTGGTATTTCAAACTGCTGCTTCTTCCTTTGATACTAGTAAGTCTCCTCGGAATTTAAATAGGCTTCGTTCAGTGAAAGCAACACTTGAGTCTCATTCATATGTTCACGTTAAATCATTATTGCTAATAATGACTTTAAGTGCTCAGATAGATAAGCACTTGAGTCTTGAATTGCTTGTCATTTCTTTATAAAGATGTTTCAAGGAATTGCTCCATGCAGTCCCTTCTTTCATTGTTTTCGGGCAAAAAGTAACAGAATCCTTTATTAGTTTATTAGAAGGCAGAGAAGAAAAACCTTTTATTTTAGGAAAAACAAAATGTGTTTCCAGGTACAGGGAATAAAGAGCAAAATCAGTCATGAGTGATAGTCTTAGAAAGTTCTTTTTTTTTTTTTAAATAAATCATGAATGCACTGGCAGCTTGCCAGCGCTTTAACCTGTATTTTATTTTCCCATTATACTTGGGTCCAGGTTATCATCAGCTACCGCGAGGAAACCTATGTAATTCCTAGAGAGAGAAAAGTTGCTCTGTTAGACTTAATAGTATGGTAGTCACGGAAGCATCAGTTATCTTCATCAAGGCAATTCACATTTGATTATTGTAGAACTGTGTTGAATACCAAACCAGAGGAGTAGTAGCTGGAGCTAAATCAAGGGATTGTCATTTTTGTCAGATGATTAGGGCTGACTTGGAAGAGATATGAAAGGGTTGAGCCGTGTAAATACTCTCTTCAGCAGAAAAAGAAAAGGTCCATCATGACCGTTAAGACGCAGCTTGTTAGCTTGATGAATTTCAAACTGTTGAACCTTAGCAGTTACATACCCTGCCTGTGTGCAAATGTATCAGTGCCTTGGGATTAAGTCTCCAAGGACTGATAGCAAAGCATATTGGTAATTTTCTATTAAGATAAAATACAGCCATTCTGTGTCTAAGAGAGATCTCTCAAAAGACAGCACTCTGCTTCAAAGTACTCATTATTAACCTGAATTACACACTCCATGAAATAGAGAAACACAGTTATGAGTTTTTAAAAATTCTGAATGAAAAATATATTCATGGTATTTATGATTAGGGATGATGGTATTAATTTGTTAAGTTATTAACACGTTACGTTTTTAGAAACTGAAAGTGTACTTAATTATTTGTCTGTGAGGGACTTGATACGACTAATAGATACACTAATAGATACACTGAATAACAGCAGCATATTTAAGTAGACATAGCTGACCTAATGATAAAATACATTGCATACATTTCCGCAATGTGTGGCAATACTGTTAAGTGGCAGAAAGGGCAGTCTGGGGTCGCTGCTGTTATGAAAATGTGCACGGTTCCGTTTGCGTTTGTGTTGTCACATGCCCTACTAATATTCCCACTACCTGGGCACTTATTAAACTCGTATATAAGAATAGATGACATCGGAATTGCTATGACATAGAAATTTTAGAAGAATTGCTGAATTTTGAAATAACGCATTCATGTTGGGCGAAGAAAGACTCAGGCTGCCATCTAGTGGACATATTTAACATTCTTGTTTTCAAAAACTGACCGTGATTTTTAACTCTGGTCCCAACATGCTGCTTTCTTGACCCCTGTCTGTCAGCCCTCAAGAAGAGATTGTGCAAGTGTTATGTTGCATATGGTTTTGCATTTCATCATAGTTTTGTCTAACTATGTTGTCGAAAGTGGTTTTGAAAGTGATCAAAATCATCAAAAATAAATCTAGTAATAGGGATAAAATCTATGTGAACAATGAAACAAGCAAACAGAAAACATTAAAGCAATTCCAGTGTCTAGTCAGGACTAAGATTGGCTAAGGCAAAACTTTAACAATAAAAGCAAAAGCCAACCATAACAGTCAGCGCCCTTTATTATTTTATGTATTTCTTCTGAGAGAATATAAACCAACCATTTTGTTTATTTTTTTGTTTAACCATTTCATTTTTATATGAATAGGTATAATTTAAGTAGCTTTACACGTTTTGATTTATTATTTTGTTTGGCTTTTTTTACACTACAGAGAAATCCAAGACCAGTGACTTACCAATTTCATCCAAATTTAGATTATTACAAAGCACGGGGAGCAGATCTCATGAACAAAAGCCGGTAAGTCCCTTTTTTATGGTAAAGGTTCTAAGTCAGAGATATTCCTCAGGGACCACCAGGAGGTTTTGCACCTTTGTTGAAAAAAGTTTTCCAGATTTAGCATATCAATCGAAGTTTAATGCATGTTGTGAATTTTTGCTAAATAAATTATCTGAGGTTTTGTTGTTGTTTTTTTTTAAGGAAAATGATATACATTGATATCAATGCTCAGATAAAAAATTAAATAAATGGAGTGTACTTTGTTAAAATTTGAAGTTAAGCAGTTTCATTTTTCTAACACTAATAAACCTGGATAAATTGTGCCTACTTGTATAATCTCTTTCTAGATCCTTACTGTTGATTGAAAAGAGGCATTTCTATAGCATATTTGTAAATTATCAGTAACAAAATTAAAATTGGGCTTCCCAACTGTCTTTAGAACTACATAATAAGCTTATAAATGCATCTTGTGTGTGCATTTGTGATTACATACACAGAAATTTTAAGGGTCACTGTAGGAATTAAAAAACATTAAAATCCTACTTTTAAAAGAAATTAACATTGGCATAAAGGGTTGATGAACAGTTTTGTTCTCTCATAATACAGTGCTCAGATGTCTCAAGAGTTAACTTGTCAAGCCAAAACCATCTCAAATTAGAATGTAATTTCAAAGTTTACTCTACAGTGTTAGGAATGATAAATGCTGCCAAGTTGTCCGAATTTTCTTCTGTAAGTCCTTGCTAGCAGATTCCAGCAACCTAAACATACATTTCTGGAAAACACATCCACGGTGTGTTCTGCCCTTACGTGGAGGGCTAAACAGAGATGTAATTCCTACCATGTAGAAATGCATAGTGGCAGTGGTGAGAAGTTTGCCAAAAGCAGCTAAATTTAAACTTGTATTTTGAACCTTGCTATAATATAAGGTTATTTTTAAATTACCCATTCTTGATAGAAATCTCTCTCGTGTTTTGATGCACTGTGCAATTACGAGACCAGCTTCCATAGCCCCTGAGACTTCGCTGAAGCTCTTTTTTGTTTGTTCATTTCATCTGCTTCTTGTTTCCCAAATAAAAGGCTGGTCCCTATAGTAATTGTGTTCACTTAATTTAACAAATTTCTGAGCTTCTGGCTCTCATTATTCTAAGTCACTGCAGATACCCAGTGAACAAACCAGACAGTCCCTATCCTCAGGAATCTTACAATCTAGTCACTTAGATTTCCTTCCTTTCATGCCATGTAGTTATTATTGTTGTTATGTTTAAAAGAACAAGGTATTTTAGGTATTTTATGTAAGATCTTTCTAGCTAGAGCCTCCCCTTCTCTCCTTCACCCTCACCCCGCCAAGTTACTTTTCACACAGCAGCAGAGAACTGCAGCTTACAGCAGACACACCTCACTTGAAAGCCTCAGACGTGTCCCCTCCACTCATGGACAATCCTGTCTCTTCCTGTACCCCTTTGTCTCTGACCTTACCTCTTGCCACTCCCCCTTTCGCTTCACCCCCAGGAAGATGCTTGCTTGGGGCCTCTGCACTAGCTCTTCCCGCTTCCCAGCGTTCCTCCCACTCCCATCGGCCTTTGCCTCTTCAGAATTTCGATCTCAACGCAAATGTTATCTCAGAGACTCTCCTGCTGACCTTGCTGTCTTCTCCCCAATTGCTTTCTGTCCCACTGTGTCTTATTTTCTTCCCAACAATCATTACTAGCTGAAGTTACGTACTTCACTCACGTCTGCACCTGTCTTCTGCCTTCCTTTCCACCCTCTCATGTTTCTTTTTCTAGTTAATTTTCTGTTCTTGCCTTTCTCCTTTGGAAAAATGTCAGTTTAGCTTTATGTGTTTTCTTTTATGCACATGAGATTCTTGTATAAAGTATTATTTTGATGATTGAAGAAAGTTTTGTCATTATGTCTATTGCGATTTGAAAACTTAAAATTGAAATTGAGCCCGATGAAGCAGAGTGTGTCAAGAAGACATCCCAGGCCGAGGAGCAAGGAAAGAGTTGATAAATGGTACTGGGAAACACGACAGCTCTTTTGTGAAGGTTTCAGCTTATAACCTTAGCAGGTTTTTCACCTACCTTCTAGTTATTACAAGGCTTTTTAACTGAAAAGTAATGGAAGAAAGTGCAGAAAGTGGCTGGTCGATTTTACCACACCACAGTGGTCAAAAACAAAATAAATGGAAACAAAAGGTCAAAAACAAAATAAATGGAAACAAAAGGCAAACAGAAAATGGAGGCCTCTGCAGTGGAAGTAACGGACAAATTAGGTCATTATGTATGGAGAACTTTTGCAGCTCAGTAGGAAACACAAAGTCCTGTCTCCGGAGGCCATTCTGTCGCTCGCCATGCTGCGTTGGACACCCCCTCTTCTGCTTGTGAATGTTTGGAGGCCTTCCGACTTTTCCCTCTCCGTCCTCAGACCTTGGGGCATCTGACCCCGGCTCATGGTTTTCAGACTCCTTCACGACTGGAGGGGCCTTCGTTACTATCTTCAATTCCATCTCATTTCTTGAACTCTGGAGTCAGGCACCACTAGTAATAGTGGGGGACTGCGCAGCATTTCCCCGTGGATGTCCCACCTGCACCTCAAATTTACTACTTTCCAAACTAAGCCCAGGCTTCTACCTCCACGAATCTATTGTTGCCCCATGTTTTTCTTCATCAAAGAAATAGCATGACCCAGCTGGTCAAGCCTTCGGTCTGCCTTGACTCCTTTTTTTCTCACATAGCCAGTCATTCAGCAAATCCTCCTCTCCTGCAGCAAACCGCTGCCCACTCCATGCTGCTCTATTGAGTCACCACCTCGTCGCTCATCTCAGTTCTGTCATCGCCTAGCCAGGTTCCCTACGTCCTCTCCTCTTAAAGACCCTTCACACAGCAGCCAGAACGTACCGCCTCACTGCTCAGAGCTCTTGCATCACTTCCCAGACACTTAGGATAAAATCCAAAGCCATTATAGTGGCCTGCAAGGTTGACCCCACGTGTCCTCCTGCGTCCCCCAGCTTCACCAGCACAGCAGCTGCTGTGTTGATCTGCTGCTCTCCACTCAGCAGCCCAACACTCTCCATCTTGGGGAGCGCTGAGCTTGCTCCTCCCTGTGCCTGGCGTCTTCCCCAAGGACCCACTGGGCACATTGACTGTCCAGCCTCTGTTCAGATCTCATCGCTGAGGAGTGCCTTTCTTAGGCTGCTCTCTAAGAAATCATGGGTCCCTCGATGCACCTTTGTTACTGGTTTTTTGTGTCTGTTTTTGTAGTAACCGATCATACCTCGTTATAATGGCTTAAAATGAATGAATGAGCAAGCCAGCCCAGGTGAATGTGTGTAGATACTATTCATCACCAATTGAAGGACTGTAAATAGAGGTATCGTTGACAATCTCACCAGAGAATTCTTCTAAATCTATAGGTAACCCTTACAAGCACCAAGTTATTCCCTGGGAGTTGGTTTATCCATGACCCAATGCCATTGTAACTGTGGAGCCGCTGGTATGGGCCCCCATTTAGCTCAAGGTCAAAGGTGTTTTTGCCAGGCTGGGTCTATCAGCCACAACTAGCCTGGCAACTACTCTTTTTGCTGTTTAGAGATGATCAAAGATTTAATGCATTAAAGCTGTCACTGAGCAGCAAGACAGAGAGTAGGGATGATCCAGAGGCTACATATATATATATATATATATACACTCAAGGGGAACCCCCAAAAGTGATCGCTAAGTAGAGGATAGAGAAGAGCCAGGCAGACTCCTGGAAAGACAGGGCTAATACGTGCCACGTCTGTGGCGATACACTTCTATTTATGATGCTTCTCCAAATAAGGGACGAGGATGCAGAGATGACATGTGACTTCATGGATAAGAATATCTCTAGAAATCAAGAAGCCTGATTTCTCTTCTCTGCTTTACCATGGATTGCTATAATTAAGTCTTTAAAAGCAAGTGCCTAGGTATTTTAGTGGTAGATTTTCTATTACGTGTGTGGGTAATATTCACTGGGCTCTGATTCTACTTACTTGCAAATTTCATTTTAAAAATGGGAGTTGGCATTTTCTTATGCATTCAACTTTTGAGCTCACAACGACAATTTAACACAAATCTTCATCCAATTTGGTCCTTAAATAACCAGAAATTGCTGCCATAAAACATAAAAGTACATCTAGATTGTGACCGCTTTTTCAGAAAGGCCCATTTAATTGATTTAGGGATCCGTGACTACTGAAATGCCCAACTGAGCTCTTGGAACAGAACTTCATAGTTTTTAAATACAGCAATCTTTTATGTTAAGAGTAGAATCACGTACCTTCTTTATTCTGGCACATTCATGGATTTTCTGCTTTGAAAATGACACAACATAATTTCTTCAAATGTTTGATTCTCCCTGCTCTGCAGAGGTGATGCAGTACTGGCATCATCTGAGCTGTGTGCAGCACCCCAAGAGACAGGCCCCTTTATCTAGAGGTGCCTTTTTACAGGCCTCACAATTGTAAGTCTTCTAACTTGCTACAGCAAGTTCCTATCCTCAGAATTAGATATCATACTTGATTAAATGAGGCCTTAATGGAGAAGAGCCCAAACTTAGTTCCCTGATATCTCCAAGTGTCAGCTCAGCCACAACGTTCTCTGTGCTAATATTTTCAGCTTTCCTCTGCCCCATGTCAATTTATGTGACTTAATTGATAGCAATGAGAAAAGATTCCAGATACTTCTGGAATTCTGACAGGTAGGCCCTCTGCAGAGGGTCTCTCGTCAGGACTTCCTGCATGGGGCTTAAGGGCCAAGGAGACTCTCGGGTAAAGAATTGTTGCTGGGGTTCTGAAAATGTACCCCACTTTGCTCAGCTAAGTTCCACGTGACAAAGGGCATCCAATGTGTTCTTACCCCCGAGAATGCCTGGTGTCTGATAATCTTCTATCTCTTCTTGGGTCAGAATCTGCCTCAGCTGAGAAGCTCTGCTCAGTTCTCTGCTATCTCGAACATTCTGAAAAATAGAGTCCAGGAACCGCTAGGATTCTTCTAACAACT